GCTCCTCCTCTGCCCTTCATCTCCAGCCCCTCTCCTGCTTTCGGAGGGTCTGGCGATGTGGGGTTTGGTCCTGGTCTCTCCTCCCTCGCTCCCGCACTGAGGGGTCCCTCAGGGCGCGGTTGTTCCGCCTTGGGCCTCCTCCATCCATCCCCACCCGTGACCCGATGCACCCCGGCCGTGGGTCTGGGGGCACCCGGAGCCGCCCCGGCTCTGCCCCGGGTACCTGCCCTGTTTGCTTGGGGTTTTTCCCTGCCCCTGGCAGCCCTGGGATCCCTCCCCGAGTCGCAGTTGCCAGTTCTGGGTTCATCCTAGAGGGAGGAATGGTGTTTGGTGCACAGTGACGTGTGGTAGTTAGAGATGGGCAGGTAAAACAAAAGTGTTTGCTCCTTGCAGGGGAAGGAGTCACGATTTATAGGAGTGCCTGGGGCTCCCTTGCTCCTATTTCTCCTTTAGAGATTGTGCATTAATATCAGTTCTGTTTTGTTTCTGGCGTGGGAGGGGTGTGATTATTTTGGACAATGTTCTGGCAGTTTCATTAGTGAGGAGCCCAAGTTCAGAGCTCCCCACTCCCACAGCTGAAGACATTTTGGAGGTCAGGCTGTTAACCAAAATGCCAGTTTTTGATTGTTGGGCAGATGATGTTAATAAGAAAATTGTCATCTTTAACTGCAAGGCTGTTGTTTAAGGAGGAGGGAAGAAATGTAGTTCTGATTCTCATGTGATTTAGAATTAAAGTCCAATCTCAGAGGTACTGGTAAGCTGGAGTGGGTCCTGCAGAGGGCTGTGAAGGTGGTCGTGGGCTGGAGCTTGTGGTGTCTGTGGGAAGCAGGAAGAGCTGGGTTTGCTCAGGCTGCAGAACAGAGGGTGAAGATGATCCAGCTGCCCAACAGGGACTTGAGAGAATCATAAGAGTGGTTTGGGTTGGAAGGAGCCAGTGCACAGGGAAGGACTGAGAAAACAAGCACAGATTGCTGCAGAAGAAACCTTGCTTGTCCGGTTCTAGTCCTCTCTGTTCAAGACAGATGTTAAAAAAAAGGAGAGGGTCTAGTGGAGGACCACCAAGATAATCCTCAGTACAGGAAAGACATGGACCTGTTGGAGTGGCTCCAGAGGAGGCCATGAAAACTATCCGAGGGCTGGAGCATCTCTCCTGTGAGGACAGACTGAGAGGGTTGGGGTGGTTCAGCCTGGAGGAGGCTCCACAGAGACCTCGTTGTGGCCTTCCAATACTTAAAGGGAGTTTATAAGAAAGATGGGGATAGTCTTTTTAGCAGAACCTGTAGCAACAGGACAAGGGGTGATGGTTTTAAACTGAAAGAAGGGACATTCAGGCTAGATGTAAAGAAGAAATTCTTTACACTGAGGGAGGTGAAACACTGGCCCAGGTTACCCAGAGAGGTGGTAGATGCCCCATCCCTGGAAACATTCGAGATCAGGTCAAATGGGACTCTGAGCAACTTGATCTAGCTGAAGATGTCCCTGCTCACTGCAAGGAGGAACTTTAAAGGTCCCTTCCAACCCCAACTGTTCTATGATTTTATGTTTAGAGGGTTGGAGAACTTGGTGTGGAGAAAATGCAAAAGATTTGAAGTTATTCAGCCTCAAGAAGGGAAGGCTTAGGAGGATCTAATCCCAGTCTTTCTAAAAGGTGGTTATAGAGAAGACAGAGGTTCTCTTCTCTCAAGGATGCACAGTGACAGGGCAAGAGGCAATAGGCATGAGCTTAAAATAAGATCTTCACTTCAACAGTTAAACAAATGGAGTAGAAAACTGGTGGAATCTCCCTCACCAGAAGTGCTCAAGACTTGGCTCGTTGGGCCTTGGATTGCATCATCTAAGTTCCTGATCTCAGTAGATGTGTTGGGCCAGGCGGTTTCCAGAGGCCCCTTCCATTGTGGACTTTTCTATAATCCTATGAAAAATACTGCTCTCAAGGAGAGTAGTTAAGCAGCAGGGCAGGGCTGCGAGGGGTTGCAAGATCTCCATCCATAGGGATGTTCAGAATTTGTCTGAGCAGCACTCTGAGCCATGGGACTGACCTGTTAGAGCAGAAATCTGGACCAGGAGACCTTAGAGGGCCCTTCTGACATGAGTCTTTCTGTGACTGCAGGAAAATGAGGTTCTCTGTACCTCCTTTTTTATCCTCAGTATTTTCAATCCCAATAATTTTTTTTTCCTTTGACTTGAACTAATATTATACAGGTTTATGCAGCACTAAATATTTCTAATTTTTAGTAACTCTATGCACGTTTGCCAAAATAGGCAGAGTTTGTATAAACTGTATTGAAGGTTAATTGCTTTTTGAGCTGACTCTTTTCATTGGAATTAGGGATGCTCTGAAGTACCTCACTGAAGCTCTGCAGTCCACCAGTGAAGGAGAACTTGACGATGTTATTGAAAATGTCATTGATGCTGTTGAAAAACAGCCTTGTAAGTAAACAGTTTCTTTTTCCTAAGCTTGTTTATCTCCTGCTTATAAAGTTATTTAGACAGAGTTACTCGTAGCATATACACAAAAGTATCATTCTAGTCTAACTGGGTTGATCAAGATAAATTGTATTTGTTGACTTTTTGTTTTGTTAAATAATGAAGTTTATAATGTCAGCAAGAAGATAGTGTAATTTTGCTGTTTAAAAGTTGGCAGCCTGTTACCCCCTGAAGTGAAATTTTTTCATGCCAGTTGCTAAGAGAACCTTGCTGAGTTTGTATGGACATCTCTGAATCTAAAACTATAATTTAAAATAATAAAATAAACTAAAGAAATAATGAGAAATGAATTAACTTGTTCATTAGTCTAGGTCCAGAAGAAGGTGAGGGTTGTTGACAGCTCTGATCTCAGGAGCCTTGCTGTGACTGCTGGGAGAGACAGTGAGAGGACAAGGGGAAATGGGTTAAAACTTGAAGGGGGGAGATTTAGGTGAGACATGAGGAGGAAAACTCTTTGCTGTGAGGGTGGTGAGACCCTGGCCCAGGTTGCCCAAGAAGCTGTGGCTGCCCCATCCCTGGAAGTGTTGAAGGGCAGGTTGGATGGGGCTTGGAGCAACCTGGGCTGGTGGGAGGTGTCCCTGCCCATGACAGGGGGTGGGACTGGGTGATCTTTAAGGTCCCTTCCAACTCAAATCAATATGTGTTTCTATTATGTGTGCTCATGAGAACCAGGAAACTTGCTAGAATTCACTTTCAGTTTTTGGCCAGGGATATTCAAATTCATATAAAGGTGTTCTAAAAACAATAGTAGTCCTTAGATGAGTTTAGGAAACTGTCCCAGCCTATCCTCATTAACCTGAATTAAATCAAGGGTAGGCACGTGCTTGCTTTGTAGTTTTACTAGAGCACAGGCTACAGAAGTTATGGCTTCATATTGTGACTCTGGCTATGGTCAGACAGATCACAGCTGATGGAATGGGGAGTAAAAGCAGGTTGAAGAACTAGTCTTAACATAAAGCTTACTAGTAAAATTGATGTATCCACATTTTTAAACCAATTTGAGTCTATACAAGAAGCTCTAGGGCCAACATGGAGTGTGCAGTCAGTGCACTCACCAACAGCAGTCTTTTTCCAGGGTGGAATTTTGTGCTGTAAATGCCCAGTTGTGCAGCTGATGTCCCTGAGTTTCAGGTTAGCACTAGAGATGCAACGCAGATGTGCTGGTGTCTCTTTTGCTCTGAAAGTCAGCACTGTCTACAGGAGCTGTCATTTTAAGTCCCATGCTCTGAAAAGGAAATTCAAGAGCAGGTTTTCATGTACTGCTTTCTGTTCCAGGAACCCAGCAGTTAGGCTTGGAAATACTGACCAGTTCCTTTGGTGAATCTGCATTGTTTTGTCTTCCCTTTACATTCAACAAAACACTAGCATGTAGAAATATTTTTAACTTTCAGTTATCAGTTTGAATCCATGAAGACAACAATGTGCCTGTCTCCAGAAATGTGTTAAACTGTTTGAATATTTATTTATCACAGCAATCTGTGTGATAATGTTCTGGAACAGAATTAACCTCCAGAATGTGAAAGCTCAGATCTAACACATTTGTAGTATAGTTGAAACCTTTGAATAAACTACAGTCTTGTTCTCCATGTTTAGTGAATTAATGGTGGGCACAGTTTGGGTTTGGGTTATTTTTTCACTGGAGATGGTAAGGATATGAATGGATCCATTTGTAAAGAGAAAACAGCATGTGCCATTAGCTTAATGAAAATAGCCTTTTCTTTTTTTTTTTTCTGTAACACATTCCTCTGAGAAGACCAAACCCTTTTTTGTAAAATATTTGAGACCTACTTATTTTCTCACTTACTCTTTTCCATGGGCTGCAGTTTTAATCCTTCCACATTTTATTTTCAGTGTCATCTAATATGATTGAACAACCCACAGTGGAGGCAGCTGTTCAAGAATGTAGCCAGGGATCGGATGAAACTATGTACGGTGATATTCTTCATTTTTTCATTTGAGGCTGAGGGGAGGTGGTGTGCATTCCCTTCTTTCTTCCTGGGAAATACATGCCAGGCATTTTCTGCAGTGCTGCACAGGCAGTAATTGCTTTATGCTTTTGTCTTCCTGGTGCTGTCTTTGAAGGTTAGTAATGATCCTTCTGAGAACACTTGTTCTCATGGATAGGCCCCCCAGGGGATTCTAAATATAAAGCTGCCATTCTGGAATTAAAATGCTCTGGTGATGTGTTAGGTGTGATACAGGTTGACTAGTAACCTAGAAAATAAACTAATAGTTGCAATGCAGGGAGAATTTCTTACCTCCATGCATGCTTTTATTTCCTTTTCCTGAATTCAAAGTTATCTAATGTCATTTTTGTGCTTTCAGAAGATAATTCTGTTCTGAAGGCGTTTGGAAAAGTTTTCCTCCATGGTGCTTGTTTCTGCTTTATTGTATGGCAGGGCTATTTTTTGAGAAAGGTGGTAGATTTTTACTCTCTGATAACAAAGCAGAGAGCAATTACCTGAGCTTCTGAGAACTTGATTTGTGATTGTGATGGAAGTGTTTCCTTTAGTGTTTACATTGTGTGTTGGCATCATGATGCAAAACAGGAGTGTGAATGGTTTGCTGAGCATGTCAGTCAGACACTGTCATCCCACACTTCCTCAGTATGAAGCAAATGTGGTTTTTACTTTTCTCCTTGTTGTTGGGACCCTTATGATGCAAGATGGCTTGAGTGTGACTTCTTCTTGTGTTGCTTTCTATACCTGATGTATTTTTCACTCCAGAAGTGAAGTCTGTATGTGCAGGTTTGGAGTCCTGGAGGGAAAAGCTCTATGGACTACAGGGCCAGCCTGTACAACTCTCCTGAGTTGTGTTGCAGAAAGCTTGAAGGCCAAGTTTTCTTGCAATCTGAAGCCTAAGACATCAGTGTCTGATAGGCCATGGTGTTTGTCCTGTGCTTGTAAGCCTTACTGAAGATCCATGGGATAATTTTATCTGCACTGATGACTTTGATCCATTTACATAAGAAGGAAATGGGAGAGAGATGAAAAGTAAATTATCAACTGGATCGATAGGCTGAAGACTTGTGCATGTCCATTGCTTAAACCTATTCATCAACCATGCCAAGGCTGTTCTGCTGTCAAAAAAGTCGGCAGAGGATGACAAGGGAAGGAGATGTAAATAAACTTCTGAAGAATTCCCTTTTTTGAAAGAGAAGGTGCAGTTGTATCCAACAGATGGAGTGATGGAGAAATGGTGATAAAGCAGGGTGATGGTGAACAAAACAAATGGAATTTTGTTCAGCATGTTTTGCTACTGTTTGTTACAACCACCTCAGGTAACATGCTAAATATATTCTTATTTCAGAGAAAATGTTTTCAACATTATTGGAGCCTTCGACATTCCACGTTACATTTATAATTCAGAAAGGAAGAGGTTTCTGCCGTAAGTCTTGCATGTCTTGAGTCTCAAGCACTTCTTGTTTTCAGAAAACAGCCTCTATAGTGTTAAAAGTCATAGAATCATAGTATCATTAAGGTTGGAAGGGACCTTAAAGATCATCACGCTCCAACCCCCCTGCCATGAGCAGGGAACCACTAGATCAGGCTGCACAAAACCTCGTCCAACCTGGCCTTAAAAACCTCCAGGGATGGGGCATCAACAACCTCCCTGGGCAACCCATTGCAGTCCCTCACCACCCTTAGAGTGAAGAATTTCTTTCTAATATCTCACCTAAATCTCCCCTCTCTCAATTTAAAACCATCACCCCTTGTCCTGTCACTGTCTTCTCTGATGAAAAGCCCCTCCCCAGCTTTCCTGGAGCCCCTTCAGGCACTGGAAGCTGCTCTAAGGTCTCCCTGGAGCCTTCTCTTCACCAGGCTGAACACCCCAACTCCCTCAGCCTGTCTGCAGAGCAGAGCTGCTCCAGCCCTGGGATCACCTTGGTGGCCCTTCTCTGGACCCTCTTGTTTTCTAGTCTTTTCCTCTTGGGTCTGCTCATCCCAAACTTCATTTATTAGTCTCTAAAGAGGCAGTCAGACTCTACGATAAATGCTGGCTCATAACTAAATGTGCCAGTGGGTTTTTCCTAGTCCAGCAGGATGGAGCTGAGGTGGGGATCTGTGTCTCCTGTAGCAGTGAGCTCTGCACTGCCCATGGTTTTACTGGCTCTGAAACACAGGTATGTGTCAGACAGTCAAATGTCCAACCATGTTTATGGAATTTATAATAAAAGACAGTGAGGCTAAGGTCGTAGATCACTAAAATCAGTTTGTTGTGTTGATTTTGGTTTTTACCTGAGCACTGTGTCCAATTTTGCATCTCCCAACTTAAGAAGGACATGGAACTGCTAGAGAGGGTCCAGAGGAGGCCACAGAGATTTTTCACCAGAGAAGGCAGCAACAGGAGAAGGGGTAATGGTTTTAAACTGAAAGAGGGGGGGATTTAGGTCAGACATCAAGAAAAAATTCTTCAGTATGATGGCAGGAAGGCACTGGGATAGGTTGCCCAGGGAGGTTGTTGATGCCCCCTCCCTGGCAGTGTTGAAGGGCAGGTTGGATGAGGCTTGTGCAGCCTGGTCTGGTGGGAGGTGTCCCTGCTCATAGCAGGGACTGATGAGCTTTAAGGTCCCTTCCAACCTGAACCATTCTGTGGTTCTGTCATTCTACAACTGCATTTAAAAATACTGATTTCTGCAGAGTCCCATTTAGGTGGAAAAATACATCTTGAGTGCTGAGTTGGAGGGAAATTAAATGGATGTGGCCTTCAGAAAGCAGAAACACATGATCCCTAGAAGTCATCTTCATTCAGTAAATAAATTATGCAGCAGTTTTATAGCTTTTGCAGCCTCCTACAACTTCTTGAGCAATAAGTCATTTGTGTGTGTGCAATGTACCTTTTTTTAGTCTTCATTTTGTCCAACTTCTTGCAGTCTGTCCATGACCAACTTCCCTGCACCAAATTTATTTGGAACTGCCAGAGATAAAGCAGAGCTGTTCCGTGAGCGCTACTCCATCTTACAACAGGTCAGAAAAGGTTTTGCTATGTCTAATAAAATACACAGGCAAAAGTCTGTGTTTTTATATTCTTACATGGAGGCCAGTGTGTTATGCTGGGGTGTTTCGGGGAGCTACAGTTTAAATTAAATCTGGATAATAAGATCTGTACTAAGTTTTATTGGTGTTCTCAGCTGTTACCACGTAGTGTGATGGATCCATGTGTTTCTGTATTGAGCATCATAAGAGGGGTTTGTGTGTTTTTCTTTGTCTTGCTCTTCTCCCTCCTGTGCTACATTTGATGTGTCATAGTCTGTGGTGCTTGCTGAGGTAATGCAAACCCAAAGCCCCAGGAAGGTCTCATCCAGGCTGTCCTTGAAGCCCTGAAGTTTGCTTCTGCTGTAGTCCAGTTATTCCTGCTCCAGTTTTCAAAACGCTCAGTGAGAGCCAGCCACCCCTTGTCACCTGTTGGTGGCACATGTGTCCTGTCTTTGGAAGGGGGTTTCCCACCATGGCTTGCTCTGCCCCACTGTGATGGTGGCTGCAGGCATTGAATCAGTTGTTTTAGATGGAAAAGACCTTTAAGGTCCCAATAGTTTGGGATCCAGCTGCCTGCTCAATCTGTGCTGTGCTCTGCCCTGCCTCTGTTGTGCAGCCTGTTGAGAGCAGGGATGGGATGAGGAGTGAGATGCTGATAGGATACCTTGGTAATTGTTGTTCTTATCCACAGCACAGCCCTACTCAGTGCTGGCAGGGTCTTGATGCAGCCCTGGCCTGAGGGGTAAGCAGAGCCCTGGGCACAGGAGTAGCAGGGCAGCAGCCAGCTGCCTCCAGAGCTGTTCCTCCTCTGCACCCTGTGGTGGTTGCATGCACAGGGTCAGGTACCCCAGAGCAGCAACAACTCTATCTGCTGCTATGAGGAGTACGGGTACCACAATTTGAGAACCTCTGTCCCAGAAGACCAGTTAACCATTGGCTAAAGAAGCTTTAGTTCATACAAACAGTAGTCAGGGTTAGTGAAACCTGCTGGAGTTGGCACATTCCCACAAAACAGCAGCAGGAGTTTTCCACAGGGTACACCCCAAAGCCTCCTTTTCCTGAGCTGTGTTGTGCCATTGCCCCTCTTTGCCTGGGGACTTCATGTAGACTCTGTTGTGCAGGTTCTGTGTTTGCTTGTCATCTGGACCCCTTTCCATACTCCAGCTAAGTGAAGGTTGGGTGACTGTGTGGGTGGGGGCACCTGAGAGGAGATAGATGTGATAGATGGGCTGGTAGCAACGGGTTTGTCACAAGAGGAGCCTTTCAGACTGCATGAAAAACAGTGAAAGAAGCTGAAATCCCTACAGTGTATTTTATTTGTGCTCTCTGCAGTGTATCTGTTGCTGTAGCTTGTTTCTGTCATTTAAAAAATATAACATGCTTGCTTCTAGGCCCTGCCCTGAAGAGAAACCTGTTCTTTTCCACATAGTTAGTATTGAATACAGTTTACCTCCCCTTGCTCTCTCACCTTTCCCTCCCAGGTTGTCACAAATAACTTCTAGAAGCATTCCACACACTTTGCTGCTACATTTTGGGCTTAGTTTTATTTCCCAGTGTTACTGGTCATCTATTTCTTAGAAGTAAATTCTTGTCAAAAGAGTTGATTATGCTCAACAAATTAAACGTTGCTGGATCAGACAGAGTCAGAGAACTTTGTATAGTGGTTGTGATGAACAGGCTTTCTGGCAGTGGTCATTTATTTTTTAACTGGATTACTTCAATTTTGGTTTCTGCAGAGGACTCACAGACATGAGTTGTTTACTCCTTCAGCAGTCGTTGCTCATCCTGATGACAGTAAGAGCAAATTCCAGGTAAAAAAAAAGAAAGTGGTGGTGGTTTTGTTTTTTTTCCTTGGAAACAAACTAAACTTGTGTGACACTTCCATGCAGTAGTACTTCTCCAGTGGCATTTCAGTTTTACATCCCATCTGGGTCATCAATGGAAACGTGTACTTTTTGATAATTTTCAGCCTGTGTGTCAAAAATGCAGTTGTTTGGCTCAGACCAGTGTGATGACCAAGCCACTGCAAAGCTGCTCTGGAGCACAAGAGAAATGTGGTTCCTAGGGTCAAAGGGCATTCATTAGCTGTTCAGCTCATTAACTTTGTCTCCCTCTGCTTGGGGATATTTTCCCTGCTTCTTTCTTTCATAAGCACTAAATTCACAAACCTACAGTTGAGTAAGGACATTAGTTTGCTCTGTTCCCATCTCAGCTTTCTCATATTAAATGCACTCCCTATATTATACAGTATTACATTTAAAAAAAAAAAAAAAGATGGATGTGTGTCAGTGGGTGTCAAGTAACAGCTTTTGCTTTGCTCTGCTTCTCTATTTCTCCCTGTTCCAAGCATCCCATCATGTAGGATAAAGCAGCTGAACTGAGTTGAGCTGACCTGTTATAACTGACATTCTTAGACAAGACCAGAAATTCCCACTTCTTCTTTTCTGCTTTAACCCACTTGTAAGCCAAATAATCACCAAAAATATTAATGTGCTAAGCAGTTCTTGATGCTAACAGCCATTATTTGAAATCTTTTCCTAACTCTGTTACCTCTGACATTCAGAAATGTGCCCCCTGTTCTCTCATAGCTCATTTGTGTATTTATGGAAACACGTGTGCTCTGTGGTGCCTTGTCTTGTTTTGGTTGAGCACAGATATATGGAAAGTTTGATTAATATTTGCCTTTGGTTCCAGCTTAAAACAGTAGAAACTCTGCTGGGCAATACAGCTAAAGTGGGAGAAGTGATTGTGCTTGGGATGATAACTCAGCTCAAGGAGGTAGGTTGCTGTTCATCGTGGAGTATCTAGGTCACCATTCAATCAGTGTTATAATATATTAGAAAATGAAAAGCCTTAAGTATCTCATCACTTTATCCTGTCATATAACTCAGTGGCAGATCTCCCATCAATGTCAGTGGTGCAGGAGCCATTCCCTGAGAAGAGACTTTTCCACAAGCAGTCAGCTCTGGTCTGTGAGGGAAAATGCCTTCCTCTTCTCACTGCAGAATGTTGTAGTGCTCTGTCAGCAAACAGAACCAATTGTGTTTTCTCAGCATGGCCCTTGAAATGCTGCAGCTTCCAGGGCCTGTGTTTGGACTTGCCAAGGCATTGGAGTGTGATGGGAGGAGAGGGTGCACCAGCACCTCATGCTGCAGCAGCTCAAGGAGAAGCTGCAAAGATGCACTTACTATAAGCCTCACTGTCTTCACTTCTGCCAGTGTGTTCTGAACTTACAATATTAAAAAAGATTAAATTATTTCTAACTGCTTCTGATTGAAGCATGCATTTGGCTGAGTATCTTTTGTTTTATTCATTAATCTCGTTTCTTAGGGGAAGTTTTTCCTTGAAGACCCTACAGGAGTTGTCCAGCTGGACCTTAGTAAAGCCATATCCTTTTCCTTAAGTCTGAGAGCTGAAGAAATTTCCTAGATACCTGGAGAATTTTAAATTAAATAATAATTCAATACTGACCACTAAAAATTAGGCATTGAGGTTTGCAGCTTGGTCTTTTTCCTTCTTCTCAAATGACTTGGTTGCTGCAGCTCAGTGTCCTTCCACAGAGGCTGTTAGGACAAGGTTGGTGTTCCTCCTAGTGGGAGCAGAGTGTGGTCCTTGTTCCAGGGCTGTTGATCACCTTACCTGCTCATCTGCCTGGCTTTTGAGGCAGCCTGTGAACTTCCAGTAGTGTCCAAATGTATGACACCAGCTGGAAAGCAAACTGTGGCTAAATAACTGATTTAAGAGTCCTGATGTAAAAAAAAGTATATGCCTTAACATTTCTGTACCAGTTCCACAGTGGTTTATATACTGAATCCTCCTTTGTTTTGGCAGAAGGTAAAGCAGACCCTTTTTCTTAGCTTGTAATAAGTTACTCTGTTGAAGGCTGCTGCTGCAGCCAGATGTCTGCCAGATGTGGCTGAGCAGACAAGTCTCACGTTGAGGCTTGGCCACAGGCTGAGGTTTTGGCCATAAGCCTTTCCTGTTATCTGTCGGCTCTGGGGACAGAGAACAAAGCTCTGTGGAATTCCTAGTTCATAGTGATGTTGGTGGGATGTGAACATCTGTAGCAGCTTTGAGGATTGGCCTTGGGTAGCCTGGCTCCAGAATGCTCAGAGATGTGACTGCATGAGGTAGAGAGGCTAGAATAATGAAACAGTAAGAGGTAGCAATCTGAAAATGCTGCTTTCTGTTGGCAAAGCTTTAGTCCTTCAGAGGCTTCTCTGGGGAGTCTTCTCATAAGGTGAGGTCAGAGCTTGCAGTTTGAGAGCCTTGGACCTGTTTTGGCAAAATTACTGGTCATTTCTGGTTGTAGAGTATCACTCTGTGCAAGATACATAATCCAGGTCTGATTTCTAATAATTCTATTTAAAATTTATTAAAAAAACCCTAAAGAGAAGTCAAGAGCAAGAATGACAGTGGGGATAAGTACCACCCTGTTACTTCTGTCCCTCTACCAGGTGGGACAGCTCTGGAGACAGGGCAGCTTGATGGAGACTTTCCTGGACAGGGCCAGCAACAATGGTTCCTGTTCCCCTACATTCTTACCTGGTTGGGTTGAGAAGGTTGTTTATGTGGCTGTGCAGCAAATCCATTCAAAGAAATGACTGGGGTAACAAAAGTAAATACTAGTGGGTGTCTTTGCTCAGCCTGTTTTCCTGCCTGGTCATTCCCTGGGCTGGTTCACCACTGAGCGGCACAGGAACAACTGCTGTCACAGGAGAGGACTTGATGGAGGTGGGACTAGCTAAGCAGCACAGCTGCCAACTATCTGACTAATGTTTAGGGCATGGAAACAGGAGTTGTTAGAAAAACTAAAGGTTGTTTTGCTGTTTGAACACCTCTTAGGTTGGTATGAAGATGGAGTTTTTCATGTGAACGCTTTTGGATTTCCACCTACTGAGCCTTCTGCTACCACTAGGTACAAAACTGACTTTCTGCAGCCTCACTCTGTATTTCCTTATGGGTTTCTAAGGAAGAGTGTTGATATTTTATCATTTCTGTGACATTAAAGTATGCTGTTCTCCCTCCCCACATGCTTCAAAATCAGTACAATTTTAAGGAAGGAATTGTGGTCTGCTTAGAGCAGCACTAAAGCCTGGAGTGTGAGCAGAAAAGCCCTTCCAAAGACCATTGGGTTCTTCTCAAATGCAAAACTAGGAAACCCGTACATGGGAATAAGAAATTCCTTGTTGTTTGAGGAATGAATGGGGAGTCCAGAGGAGGCCACGGACGTGATCCCAAGGCTGGAGCAGCTCTGCTCTGGAGCCAGGCTGGGAGAGTTGGGGTGTTCAGCCTGGAGAAGAGAAGGCTCCAGGGAGACCTTAGAGCAGCTTCCAGTGCCTGAAGGAGCTCCAGGAAATCTGGGGAGGGACTTTTCAACAGAGAAGGCAGTGATAGAACAAGGGGTAATGGTTTTAAACTGAAAGAGGGGAGATGTAGGTGAGACATGAGGAGGAAATTCTTTGCTGTGAGGGTGGTGAGAGCCTGGCCCAGGTTGCCCAGAGAAGCTGTGGCTGCCCCATCCCTGGCAGTGTTGAAGGGCAGGTTGGATGGGGCTTGGAGCAATCTGGTCTGGTGGGAGGTGTCCCTGCCCATGGCAGAGGGGTGGTACTGGGTGATCTTTAAGATCCCTTCCAACCCAAACCGATAAATATTACCCTGAAATGATCTGTTAAGTTATGGCAGGGCAGTGCCCTGCTTTATATCCAGGTGACTGCCATTTCTCTTCCTTGGATTCTCCATGAAGGACTGCATGATTATTGATACAATCCGAGCTACCTGTAATAATAAAAATAATTACAAGAATAACAACAACAACAATAATAATAGTAATAATAATTATAAAAGGCTTAAGTAAGTAATAATCAAAACTACTACTAACGGTTTGGGGAGAAAACTTAATTAACTTGACTATTTTAATGGTGTAGAGCCTTCTATGGGAATGTGAACTTCTTTGGAGGGCCTTCTTCAACATCAGTAAAGGCATCTGCAAAACTGAAGCAGCTGGAGGATGAAAATGAGGATGCCATGTTTGTGTTTCTTTCTGATGTGTGGCTGGACCAGGCAGAAGTACTGGAAAAGCTTCACACCATGTTTTCAGGTAGGTGGGAACTGCTCTGTCCCTGAGCCTTGTAGGGAACTTGTGCCATCTCCCTCAGCCCTTGGCAGCACTGATGGCTGAAACTGATGAGGGCAGCAAGAGGTCTGATTCAGAGCTAATTCAGGGAATATCTGAGCAGAGAACTCATTGCCTTTGTTGGAGATTTATGCTAGTTCAGCTTGGAGAACGTGTCATGGTGTGGACACTCACCTGAGCATGCCCTGTCAGGCAGGGGAGGCTGGGCAGTGCACAGCTGACAGCCAGGAAGTGGTTTGTCTGCCTTTTTTCCAAAAGGATACTTTTAAACCAAAAAGTCAGGCAACAGTTTCAAGAGTCTTTATTTGTCTTGTGCATTTTTTATGAACTTCCATCTTGAGAAAGCTAGAGTAAGCCCAACTGTTGCATTTTTTTGGTAGGATCCCACTGAACCCAAGCCCAAAGTCAGTGAAGTCCCACTCTAATTTTAGTGACAGCTGTTTGCATTTTGTGGGGTCTATGATACCTCTTTTGGATCTTTCTCCAACAGTTTTCACCATTGGGTTGCATTGCATTTTTGCAAGCCAACACTTTGTTTTTCATAAATCACTTAGTACTGGACCTTGTTCTGGACACCAGCCATTTTATGTGCTGTAGCAAGAATGTTCCCCTTGCTTGTTAAAGTTTAGTTTAGACTTCAAGAAAACTTCTTACTTCATTGGAGATCAGCAGTCCCTGAAATGCCTTCTGGTTTTACCTGGGAAAAAAAGAGGCAGTTACTCTTAAAATACAAACTGTTTCTTCCACGCATCATTACATTAGTAATGTTGACAGCACTTGGACAGCAAGCATCTGCCAGCTCTGCTAAATGCTGCTTTGTATTCCACAGCAGCTTTGGAACAGCTTGTCCTGCCTGTCTTAGGTAGAATGGAAGTGTGAGAGGGTGGCTGCTTTTAAAAAAAAAACAATGTGTGAAGTTCAGGCTGGGAAACTGCTGCTGACCTGAAGAAAATGGGAACAAAGGACCAGACTGCCCAGGAGGTACAGGATCAGTTCACTACCTTGATCAAAGCTGGCAAGATCCTGAGCTTGATCTAAGGTTACACATGCTGAAGTGATAAAGGGACTTTGGCCAGAGAGATTAACACCCTCAACTCAACTGGCAAAGAAGTCAATGTTGCAGTTACCATTTTGAGACCTTTTTTTTTAATTGGCAAGTAAAAAGGTTCATAATTATGAACTGAAAATAATATCTGAGTGGAATAGTAAGGAAAAAACATGGATGAGCCATTCCTCTGGCATAAACAATCCTGTCCTGTTTAGCAACAAGGGGGAGGTAAATCCCAGCCTGGTTCTGCATGTTTGGAAAACAGAGAGTGACCTAGAGTGTGAGATGAATGCCTGAGGAGATGCTTTTCTTTTGCTTTCAGGGGTGGGAACTGGGTTTCTTTTTTTGTGCTTTGCTAGAGACCATGTGTCTCTGGGTGGTCAGTGATCTTGTGAGGGTTCCTCAGGTCCCTCAGGTGCTCAGACAATCCCAGTTACTGTTGCTTTATCATGCCAAAGAGCAAATTAAATGTTGGCAGAGCCCTTGAGTTGGAATGATGTGTGGAGGTGAATAGAAATCCATTGCTACTTACTCCCTGTTCTTAAGGAAAGAGTGCATTTTTAAATGGTATTATTTATTATGATTGTACGTTGTGTAATTACATGACTGGGCCAGTAGTTATGTGGATGCACACCAACAATGTTGTTGGACCTGGGCCTGTAAAAACAGGAACAAGTGTCACTCCCTGGAAGTGACACTTGTTCCTTGCCATCATCCTTCAGCTAACAAAAGCCTGTGTCAGGAAAAGACTCCAGGTGAATTAACAGCAGCAGAGCTTGAAGAGCTGTGGCAGTTTCTGCCTGTTTTGGGATGGACTGGAAGCTGAATGCTGACAGGTACTGGAGTGAATGGATGCTGTACTCACAGCTGCTCTCTTTTCCCAGGTTATTCCTCAGCACCTCCAACCTGCTTTTTCTTTTGTGGGAATTTTTCATCTGCACCATATGGAAAAAACCAAATTCAGTCACTGAAAGGTAGGGAAGTGTTTGAACACAGTTGGACATCTCCATTAAGTTAAAATAATGGTGGCAAAGCAAATTAAGAGAACAGAAAGGAAACCCATCTTTTCAGAGTGACACATTTTTAATGTACTGAAGTCATTCATAGTTTCTGTGTTTTTTGCCTAACCAGGTGTTGTATCATAGATTTTCTTTCCCTGACTCCAGGTTCCTTGAAGGCTCTTGCAGACATTATACGTGAGCACCCCAGCATTCATAAAAGGTACACAGCAAAGTGCAATGAGAAGGGAAATGTGTTTATTCTGTGAAACATCTACTTCAATTACTTCCAAGAAGCCAACAGATGTTACTGCCTCATTATTGTGAGCCAGCTATGATCAGATAGCAGGCTTGGAACAGCCCTGTCAGTTTGTTTTGGGAGCAGTGTAAGGTTTTGATTTTATCTAACATAGCTCAGCCATGGAAGCTGCTATTGAGGGAGCAAAGGTGAAACTGCCTCTCCCTGGAACATTTTCCACATGGATTAAGAATGGCCTGGGTTTCCACAGGAGTTCTATTTGGCTGAGCCCTTTTCCCCTGGAATTCCCTTGAAGTCAGCAGGGTACTGCCCAAGTATTGCTGTTTCATAAACTGATGGTGAAGTCTTGCTGCTGTTAGGAGCACCTGCAGCCTTTCTGTACCAGAAAATGTCTTCTGAAACACTGACTGTTGCCTACACAGAGGCATCCAATTTCTTGCTTTCCCATTCCTCTGCATTTGGTTATCCACAGCTGTTTGTTTCAGAACTAACCCAAGCAACACAATCCAGCAAAGGAATCTTTTATTCATCTCTTCTTGTCTCCCTGCTCTGTGGGAGTCCCATTCCAGGCCTGGAGAACTAAATCCTTCCTATGGAAATGTGAATATGCAAAGGGAATAAAGCAGGGAGGCAGCCAGGCTTTTATCCCTGCTGGCTTCTCATCTTTGAATACCTAAGAGTAGCCCCAAAGTGGAGCTAGTTCCTACAGTGAGCCCCAAAGCCAGGAACAGCCACAGCCTGCATGGTTATTTGCACGTGTCTGTAGAACAGCAGCAGTTAAAACCAATGTCTGGATAATTCTGGGATCATTTCATATAAAAGTGATACCTTGGACTTTTTACAGTAGTCGATTTGTGTTTGTTCCTGGCCCTGGAGACCCTGGTCCTGGCTCTATTTTACCAAGGTCAGTTTGCTTCTCTTTCCCAAATTTTGGAAGTTTGAGTGCAGTACTTAAAGCAAAGCAGAGTCCTGGCTTAGACACCTCTTGCTGTTTATTTTAGACCTCCCTTGGCTGAAAATATTACTGAGGAGTTCAAGCAGCTGGTGCCTTTTTCAGTTTTCACCACAAATCCCTGCAGGTAATGCTGTAACTTACTGCTTTTGCTCATGTTGTGTTTTTTTCACTGAATGACTAATCTTTGTGCAGATGGAATTTTAAAAAAGATGTTTTAGATGTTTCAGATTCCTCACTTGCTTTAATTGTAGCTAGTTTAAAATACTTTAAGATATAAATAAATTAGTGATGAAAGGCAGTAGTGCTAAAAGTTTGATTGTGTGTGTAAAATATCCTGCTCAAAACCATGTTTCTTTTGAATCTGGAAAGAAGGGAAGATGGGAGAGTGTTCATTCAAATGTGCTTTTTAATTTTGCTGTGTTAGAATCACAGAATCCCAGACTGGTTTGGGTTGGAAGGGACCTTAAAGGTCATCCAGTCCCACCTCCTGCCACGGGCAGGGACACCTCCCACCAGCCCAGGTTGCTCCAAGCCCCATCCAACCTGCCCTTCAACACTGCCAGGGATGGGGCAGCCACAGCTTTATCATGCAGCTCCCTATCTTGTATTTTCATCTCGACTTATTTAATTTCATGTAATATTTTTCCATTTAGGATTCAATATTGCACCCAAGAAATCATTATCTTCCGTGAAGATTTGGTGAACAAAATGTGCAGGAACTGTGTCCGCTTCCCTAGCAGCAACATGGACATTCCCAACCATGTGAGTGAGCTTTGTTCTTCTTGCTGAGATCTCCTTGACTTCTTTGCTACCTGCATTTAGGCTGCTCTGCTCTGCATTCTCATGGCACGTTGCAGAAATTACCAAGAGGGGCTGTAAGAAGGATCTGTACATATGGTATTATAGAATCACAGACTGTGTGGGGTTGGAAGGGACCTTTAAAGGTTGTCTAGTCCAGCCCCCTGTGCAGTGCACAGGGACCTTTTTAACTGGATCAGGTTGCTCAGAGCCTCCTCAAGCCTGACCTGGAATGTTTCCAGGGATGGAGCCTCCCCCACCTCTCTGGGCAACCTGTTCCAGTGCTTCACCACCCTCATAGTGAAGAACTTCTTCCTGATAGCTAATCTGAATCCACCCTGCTCTAGTTTAAGACCATTGCCCCTTGTCCTCTTATTACCTTCATTTCTATCTGGACAATAAAGTCACTGAAGTAAAGTAACAGATGGTGGCTGGTGGCATTGAGTCATCCTGTCCCACTCCAGGTGCCCTTGATCCCAGAACTTGGTGGCAGCTGCCTTCTGGTGTCTCCACCAGCAGTGAATGTCACACCAAGAGACACTGATTCCTAAAGGCAAAGTTTAATACAAATTACCTTTTTTCTAAGATTTGATTGATTGACCAGTGGCATTTGCAGCAAAGCAGCATGTGGCTTTTCCAGGTGGTCACCTGCTTCTTCTCCCTTCTCACTTGAAGTCCTAATCCTGCTTCTGGTACCTCATCACAGCACTCAGAGTTACGACTCTGGTTAAGGAATGTGCAGCAGGAGCTGATGGGACTGTTGGATAGGATGGAATGAGAATCCTGGCTTGTTGCAGTGATGGATACAGCCTGTTTCTGTGTATTTTATAGGGTTTGTTGTTGGTTTATTTGACTCAGAAACTTCTCTTGGCTCTCTCCTCCTTTGCTCCATCTGGGCAGTGCTCAGGTCCTTCATGAGCACACGGGAACCATTGTGGGCACTGAAGCACCTTGGTTTTGGTGTCCACGTTTGCACACGTGTCTGTGGACCCCACAAGCCATCACTGCCCTGGACTGACAGCTTTCTTTTGCCTGGAAGGGCAGGAATCATGAAGGAAATGTAGAATTACTACTGCAACACTTTGTACAGAGAAGTGTACTGAGTTGCTTTCACACACCTGTTTTCCTCTGCCTTTTCTGCCTGTCATTAAGTATTTTAATTCAGCCATCAGTGTAAAAAGATGGGAAAGGGAAATTTTATTACTAACATTAGGTTGAATTAATGGGTGACCTTAAGCCTTGTACAGTGTTAGTGGAACAGCCAGGCCTATAAAAATGGAGCCTAATGGCAGCTAAATGATTGATCAGAGATAATAAAAGCTTTCAAGGGGCTTGAGGAGAGACTTTTAGGAACCAAAATCTCCTGGCTTGAATTTTCCAGATGAAAAAGAACTGAAAGGGGGCAGCTGGAGTGTGGAGCAGAGCAACTCCCAGACCAGCCAAAGGAATAGAAATCATGTGGGAGTCAAATTATTTCCCCAGTTCAGAGAAAGGACTGAGTTGAAGTGTGGGTCTTCTGGTTAACCAGTACTGCAAGGAAAGCCCTGAGGGGAAAATCCCCCAAACTAAAAGTGATGGCAGTGTTGGTACCCTGGGTTGGAGGAACAGAGAAGCAGATTCTGCAGTTTGGTGAAGAGTCTGATCAATGATATAGTTTGGGCATCTTCAAATGTTGGCTGATATGTTTTAGAAAGGACTTTGTGTATTTAGAAAAATCCCAACACAGCAAACAAAGCAGCAGCTGAGTGTCTGGGGGAGCTGCTGCTTTGCTCTAGAGCAGAGGGAGTGAGATGCACAAAACCCACATCCAGGTTCAAAGCTTCTTTATTAACAGGGCATTAGAATCATAATTGTAGAATCATGGAATGCCAGGTTGGAAGGGACCTCAAGGATCATCTGGGCCAACCTTTCTAGGTACTACTGTAGTTTATATGAGGAGTCTCAGCACCATGTCCAGCTGAGACTTCAAACTGTCCAATGTGGAGGAATCCCATAGGATTCCCTTCCCTTAGGAGACTGTTCCAATGTTGGACTGTCCTCATGGGGAAACATTTATCTCGTGTCCAATGGAATCTCCCCAGGAGCAGCTTGTGCTCTTGGTCTTTTCCATGTGGCTCCTTGTAAACAGGGAGTCTCCATCTTCTTGGGAGCCACCCTTGAAGTGCTGGAACATGGTGATAAGGTCTCCTCTGAGCCTTCTCTTCTCAGAGCTTACTAGCATTGCAGGAATGAGTCTGACTTCTCAGAAACGGTCCAAACTAACTGTTTACGTTTCTGTTGCAGTTTGTGAAGACAATATTATCACAAAGCCACCTGACACCCCTCCCACTGTACATCAGCCCTGTCTACTGGGCCTACGACTACTCCCTGAGGGTGTATCCTGTGCCAGATATGCTGGTGATTGCAGACAAGTACGACCCCTTCACTGTCACCAACACCGACTGCCTGTGCATCAACCCTGTAAGGTTTCTTTCTGCTTTGCCAGACAAGACACGAGCATCATCACACCCAAGTGTGTCCCTGGCCACTTGTGCAGCAGTTCACTGACACGAGGGTGGTACATACATTTTTTTTTCTTCACAGGGTTCATTTCCAAGAAGTGGATTTTCGTTCAAGGTGTTCTACCCCTCCAACAAGACAGTTGAGGACAGGTAAATATGTTCAGTACCTCATTTCAAAGGAGGTGTCTTCTTATTTGTTGACTTTCTAATTATCAGGAAGAACACAGAAAATCTTTTATATAAAGTGAATGTCAATGATCTAGCAATGATCTACATTAAACAGGCTTGTGCTTCATGCTGAGACAGCATAGGAAACCCAGATGCCTAGAACTAAACCAATAAATTCAGAAATTAGTCCAATAACAATGATGAGCCAAACAGGTGAGCCAAAAGTAAAAGGAAAGCTAGACTGTTCTGTATGATCTTCAATAACTGAGACCAAATTTGAGATTTGTTTCTGGAGATGATGCCTGTTACATGGGCTCGTTACACTTAGAAGCAATTACTGGTTTGTTTTGTGACCATCATCAAGCTCAGAAGCCACTTTCATGCTTTGGTTTCATGCCTTTTAAACCTGTCTTTACTCATTTCCATTGTGCCCTACCAGTGGCTGGGAAAAAAAAAGCCCAAGCTGCAACACCAAAATGGTCAGGAAGTATCAAAGGGCTTAAAACTGTGATGAAAACTGGCCAAGTTTGAAACAATGATGGTATAACCCAGTGGGAGAAGTACAAACTTACCTAGTTAGGTTCAGCTTCATGCCTGGTTTTCTCAAACTGGGGTGGACAAGACCCCCCCAAAGGAATTGCTTCCCTCTAGATGGACCCATGTAACCTTTACCTGAATACAGAAGATACCATGAGGTGCTTAGGCCTTTAAATATTTTCAGACCTTATGGAGTCTTCTGCCAATCAAGAAATAATGTTATTTATTGTGATGTAGCTCCTTAAAAACTCAAGTGTTGTTTTTGTTTGGCATTTTCAGCAAACTTCAGGGCCTCTGAAGCTCTGTGAGGCTGCAGAGAGGGAGTGAGCCTTTGTAAAGCCAGCTGCAGCACTCATTTTAGAGGAACTGGTTTCAGAATAAATCTGAAGGCCTAAAATGATGTATTTTGTACATAAATAAACTTTTACAGGAAAATATACTGGTGTTGGTGAAGATAACTAATGTAGAGTCACGGTGAGGATTATATTAGGAAAGCACAATAAAGGAAGGCAGCTGGAGGGACCAAATGCATGTGGATCAAGCACGAAAGACCTGTGTTTTAAAAAAAGTGAAAGATGGGGAGAAGTTTGTCTTTCACCCTGCTGGGCTGAACTGATAGCTGGTTATCTCCAGGAGAGGCTGGAAACGTGGGCAAGAAAGGGCTGGAGCTCTGTGAGGTGTTTTTTACTCACATCAGCATGTTAGGTGGTAGATACTGTGACCCAGGCAGGGTGAGGAGAAGTCCAAGGGCAAGGAGGAGCAAGGGCAAGGTCCTTTGAAACATCCAGAGAGGGCAGGGAAGAGGAAACCTTGCTGAAGGAGCAATCAGGAATGTGGGAAAGAGGCAAGGGCCTGGCAGCACTAACTTCCAGCAGGGAGCAGCCTCTGGGCACGGGAACCTGGGCCCTTGTGGATGGATTGAAGCAAAGACCTGTGGGCCTGGAGACCAGGGGAGCAGGCTGGTGGCACCTACAGTGCCCAGAGCAGCTGTGTCATTTCACAGCCCCCTTCCTGCAGGAGCAGGGCCCAAGCTCTGGAGGGGCCGGGGGGGTGTGTGTGGAAGCCGGGTACGAGGTGGGAGCTGAACTGCTGAGCGTCTAAACCCGACCTGGGGGCTGCACAGCCCTGAACGTGCCCCCCGGCTCGGAGGGGCAGGGGGATGCGGAGGCGGAGAGCCAGCCC